ATGACAAATTGGTAAGTAGCTGAAACTCAGATGATATAATGACAAGTTGATAAGTAGCTGAAACTCAGATGTTATAATGACAAGTTGGTACGTAGGTGAAACTCAGATGTTATAATGACAAGTTGGTAAGTAGCTGAAACTCAGATGATATAATGACAAGTTGGTAAGTAGCTGAAACTCAGATGATATAATGACAAGTTGGTAAGTAGCTGAAACTCAGATGATATAATGACAAGTTGGTAAGTAGCTGAAACTCAGATGTTATAATAACAAGCATGTAGTTTCATTTTTCTAATTTTAGACCTTCTGTCGTTCCTCTTTCTTTTGATGTATTTATCATATTAAGCTATTCACTTACTCCCCATCACACTAAATAACTTCACTGAACTATGTTTGTTACAAAGTTAAGTCCCTCATAGAATATTTGCGCATAAAACATGTCCACTATGCATGTGTGAATACGAGCGCGTGCTTTTGTTGTGATTACTTACCAGACAGAGACTGTAGATTCTTCTATTTTGTTATCTTCAGGCAAAGATAGAGAGATCTACTGGCAACATACTCTTACAGAAACATGCTTCAACATCATCTATGGATGCAAGTCGTGCAGTAATTGAGCTAATTTGCTATACAATTTCTTTGTTCTTTAAGCCACTTAACGGAGAATTAATGCCTTCTCCATCTTGTCTTGTCGGATTCGCTTCACATGGCTCTGACAGTCTATACAACCTGGTTCTCGGAAGGCTTATCGAATGTACTTAAGGGAGCGCATGAAGTACAAGCTACAATATTTCCAATAGAACGCAGAACTCACACACACGCACACGCATACACACACACACACACACACATATATATATATATATTACCACAAGCATGGCTATGCAAAGGGGCTTTCAAGAACACTGTAGCACAAAACAATAGAATAGTAAATGTACACGTCATCGGACTACAATTACCATATGTAATGCACTACAATCTCGTTTAGTTTAGCTAAAACACAAAGGTTAATTTCTTATCCTCATTTTAATTGAACCATAATGTAAAGCTAAAAATAGGACTATGCCTGATTGTACTGTTACTGCTTATAAAGAAAGATTCACCCAACCAAATAGCACGAGCTTCTCACAACAAACATCTATTTTTATGTAGAAGTTTAATGCGAAATGTAGAACACCTATTATGTGCATGAAGTTTAAAAGGAGAAGCAGCCATGCATACACACCTACGCTGGAGGAACTATAAGACACCCGAAACAAAGAAAAAGCCATCAAAATATCCTGCAGTGTATTGGCTCCTTAAGTCCTCCAAATGACCGTAAAATTAATTTTCTGCTTACTAAGCATGTTCGCTTTGTTTGAAAAGGTGGTATAGATAAACGCTTCTCAGGACTCTGTTGGTACGAAGAGTGATTCCTTAACCCTTTTTACTTGCAAGACCATACTTTGCATTCGACTATGCTACGACCCCTTTCCTTCAACCCCCTTTTTGCTCCCTAATGTTAGAGATCAAGCTAACATGCAGTTATTTTTCGAGACTTTTCACTTGTGTACACAATAAAATAGAACAATACTATCAAAACAGAAGAAAATTATAAAAGGGAACTGGTAACCGGTTGTGCGCTAGATATAGTAGCATATATATATTAACACGCGGTTTTACAAAATAATAATAATAAAACAACTTTAATGTACATCATTTAATCTATAATTTAGCCTACTATCACCAGTTTCATTCTTAGACTAGATGGCGCATTTTAAACTATATTGGGTAAATTCATATTCTATACTTTAAAATGGATAAATTTTAAGATTATTTTATAGCAAGATTTCGAACAGAATAAATAAGCACTAAGTTGGCGTACATGATTAAGACTTTTTTTTAAAGTTGAACGAAAAGAGAATAATTTTACCAAACAGTTTTAGCACTGAATATATAACACATCAGATTACTTTCAGTAGTGAAGTTCGAAGTATCAAAATGAAAAGTGTACGAATTCACGCCGCTTTAAATATGGTATTCAATGAGATATTTAGACCCTAAATTGGAGTATTTGACACACAGCAATGTTGTGCGAAGTCGTGGAATTTTATTACCAAATAACTCAAATGTTTTGTTGTTGTTTATTTGTTTGTTTTTCAAATAAAAGAAAGCTTAAATTACGTAGCACTGGGGCATTCATATTTCCATATGCTTTCGTAAGCTATACAAAATTTATTATTCTAATCTGATAGGAATTTTGAGCAATACTCAATCGTAAGCTACATAACCAAATACTGATGACGAAGAGTGTTATTGGATGAATATTATAACATAAAATCAACTAGTTATATGACGTAGAGTAAAATTTTTCTTCTAGTATTATCCGAACTCGCTCTGGAGAAATTTAAAAGAGCAATATAAAGTTATTAAGAAGACTTAAATTCTTAAAATAAAACCAAATATTGATGATGATATTTTTAAACCTCTGGTTTTGAAACATTTCAAAAACATGTACAATAAAACAGCTTTTTAGGTTTAACCTATCTCTCTAAGCTTATCTCTCACTAAACTTAATTGTACCTTTAAGTAAAACAAAATCGTATTAAGAAATTTTTAAACAGACTTTAATCACACCATAAACAAATTTAAACGGGGGGAAACCACTATTGACAACAATGTTTTCATCTTTAACAACGATTATTACACTTTATGTATCTGCATAGTGCTATGAAATATATATATCGTGAAAAATAAAATACTACATTATAACGCCCCACTTCAAGTTAAAACACAAGTCACGACACACCAATAACAGGATTACAAAACTTGCATGATGAATTCCCTTTTCCTATACGAACACATAACTTATTTTTAGGATGTGAAATTATTAACTAATTATATCTTGTATACAATTGCTTTAAGGAAAACATGATATAAATATAAAACATGGAATATCAGCGTTAAATAAACACAGTTAAACTCCATACATGTAAAATGAGCCTTTTGTAAAATATTTTATTTTAGTATTTAACTATGTCAACAAACAATGTAAATATTTCCTTTACAAAGCTATAACACCCTAGTTCTGGTGATAAAGATCACACCAATGTCAGCCAAATTTTAATTATACTTTGGAGTTTCAGTGTGCAAGTTTTTATTTAGTTAATATCATTCTACGATTTTAAAATAAACTTTTGATAATAAACAACATTCAGGCTCTTAAAACTTATTTTTTGTCGCATACATAGGTGTAATACCTATATTCTATACCTACAACGTTTTTCACCAGGTTAATCTGACACGATCAGATACAACAAGTAAGATAAGTGAAATCATAATATTAATAACAAGAAAAACTAGCGTATGGATATATTAATATCAGAAAAATGGTCAAACAATTATTCAATTAATTCTTTTCTACACATAGAAGAATCTTGATCATAAAATCAACTGGAAATCAGCCAAAGTAATAAATAAAACTAGAAATTATGTCAGATTGTTTGCGAAAGGCTTTCGGGTACATATTTTTTGGAAGTATTTTACATCTAAAGGTCACATTATAATATTATTATCTCAGTGTCACATCTATTCTAATTACGTTTTTTATATAGCGCAAATACAATTGCTTACCTTCTTAATACGAATAGTATCTCCACGTTCACTCGGTCTAATTCGATCAAGATCGACGAAAGAATTAACTGTTCTCACGGTAGAAAGGGAACAGTTCAGCCGGTGATCCAATTCGGTATGAAATTAGCAAAAATTTAATTTACTTGACAAGTGTATGATATAACTCTTGTATCAGTCACTATCTTTGTCGTTGTGCGCCCTCTAGCAAAACGTGCTTGTTCTCGTGGCGATTATATTTAATTCAGTTTTTATGGCTTTTGAAGGATTGTTTCTGATAACATGTTCCCCCGTTTTTACTCGTCGGGGAAGTTTATTCGAACATCCTCACAGAAAATGATTCATCATCAACTATTTCACTCGTTGCTCTTTAAATTGTTATTTCTTTAATGTCTAGTGAAAATCTCAAGTTTGTTTCTGTTTCCAGTTCTTTAACTTAAAGCCTAAAAATGCGTTATTGTTATTACACTTTTCACACTATGATCTCCAAAATACAGAAAACACTTTAAAGAATGCAGGTTTATCTGAAAACGAGGTTCTTGAAACGCTTCAGTTCAAAATAACAACTAGACGATATACTGCGTTGGTTGAGAGCTGTAACTAAATTGTTTCAGTGTTTAAAACGCTCTCACCAACAGAAACACAAAGCCATAACATGCATTACCAGTCTCCTTCTAACTTCTTCGTCCAACAATATTCTCTAAGCAAAGACTTTCTCTTCGCGCAAGCGCAAGTTTTAGGCCCTGTGGCTGCCACTGTTATTCAAACACGAGCACTTTTCATCGTCTGCCCAACTAACTACTAAATAGCAGACGACATACACGTGGAGCTTGGTCAATCCATTATTGAAGAAGGGTAGATAGAGGGTAGGTTAGTGATACTGAATTAGCAAAATAAATTTGTACAATTGAAACATATCGATGGGAGAACATTTTTCACTATTTTTTATTACTGTTTTTCGCTTTCTTAGTCATTAAACAAAACGGTTACTGTATATTGAAAAAATATTTTCGAAGTAATTATAAAGAGCTTCTGTACAAAGTAAGCGACACATACGGATCAGAAGCAACAATTAACTTAATAAACAATGAAGATAATTTAAATAACAGCCTAAGTAGAAGTATTCAATGTTATGAAATAAAATCTTTTAATGATTGTAATGCATTTATCACTTGAGTATTCTCATTATTATGAGGGCCTTAATTCCACTGATACCTCACAAGGTACGGCCACCTAAAGAGATTTAGATTATTTTTAAATCCATATGCTGAGCTAAGAATGCAAAATAATTCTTACAAGCATAATAAATACAATAAATGTTTGTTGTTAAGCGGAAAACTGCGTAATGAGTTATTTAGTTGTGCTTACCGCGGAGATTGAACTCTGGCTTTTAGCTTATAAATCATCGAGTTTACAGTTGATCCAGCGGGATGAGTGGGCAATAATGGAAATATTTATGCAAACATTCAAGCAGTACACAGACAGTGGTCAAAAACAACAAGTAATGGTAACTAGGTACAGAAAACACAAGAAAACGGAAAAATAAACTGCACGGTGCACTAGAATTTTATATGTGAACTATTTTGCTTCACACAGAGCATTAAATTTTATTTTCATGCTGCCAAACAGCTTACCAATGTATGATCATGGATTATTGTTCCAAACGTCCAGTAATACTCTTACAATTCAGCCAAATTGTTTGCTCGCTTTTTCAACTTGTCGGATTTTACATAAGACTATACAGCTATAAGAATGTTTAGAAGACGTCTTGTTTATGAGTGTTCTGTCAGCCGGCCATTTATTGTCAAGCTCACAGCATTTGCTATATGCTTGAAAACACTGTCTTGTTGGAAGAAGAATACTCGCCTGGTGAGCCGTGTTCCTGAAGTAATGTTGTTGTTGTTGTTTGTAATTAAACCACAAAGCTACACAATGGGCTATCTGTGCTCTACCCACCACGGGTATCGAAACCCGGTTTCTAGCGTTGTAAGTCCGCAGACATACCGCTGTGCCACTTTGGGGGGGGGCTGAAAGGTATGATGCCTTTTGTATTGTTTTGTGTACTTACGTTCAATAATAATGTGTTTCTTTGTATGTTTTATATAGCTAAGGGCATCATTTCTGTAATGTGCTTTATGTAAAAACATGACATTTGTACAATACGTAAAACAGACAGTTCTTGTGCAAAAAATTTAAATAAAATTAATTAACGTTATTTTTTACTTGAACAATAATTTATTTGTAAAGTTAAAAAGTATAAATTAAAAAAAAAGAACTTTAAACACTGTACATGTTTCGGTGGAAATAATTCCACCATCTTCAGGAGAATAAACCACGAAGTACACATAAAGTTTCTTATAAACCTGAGTAATTGTAAACTTAGCGTGTTTTTACAGTGGCGCCATTTACAACAACGATTTCCAAAAAATTTACTTCCATGGCCCCTGGGCCTAAATTTCTATTCCTATTCATTTTGTATTTAACAGTTTCTAAGGATTCTCTTATGTTTAGTAAAAATAAATAATTAAAAAAAGTTGACGTCTCGTTTGATTAATTTTAATTTAAATACGGCATTTGTATTTAATTTTCACTGTAATATGTATTTATGATTATAGAATATGTTGCATCGAACACTGGATGTCATTTATCAATTTTAAAAAATCAAATGATTCCACCCATGCCACGAAAACCTTCTAACACCATTATACCACCTTCAACAACTATTACTGTTAGAACAAAACAATTCGCGGTCTAAGAATAATTGAAACCGCGTTTCCCTATTAACAACTGTGAAAAACCAATTTCAGTCTGGTGATAACTACAAAATGACAACCACTTTAAGGTATCCGCATGATACAGTTGGAAATATTAGGTTCCTGAATACAGTCAACATATAATTGTCTTTCTCCTTAGTTTGATACCAATGCTTGGTAGCTGTAGTTTTTCTGTTTTAACTGCCACTGTTGATAGATTCTGAAGACAGATATCTCTGAACAACCGAAGAAGTGGGTTTATATAAAGACGCTCTTTCAAGATGGACATCTATATTGACCCTTCCAGTTGACACTTACCGATAAAACATGAATTTCATATTATCCGTGTTATCCCGTCAGCGTAACTAATTTTATAGTGACAAAAAAATGTAAAGAAATAACTATGAAATATACACGATGATGTGCTGTTTTGTTCCCTCAGTGGTTTTCAATTGGTTCACGTAAATATATTGTTTTTGTATATAATATTAATATTATTCCCATCGTACGCGATTTTGTCTAAAATTACGTGTTAAAACGCCCATCAACAGACAAACAGAGAAATGTTTCAAATTACTGATATATTTCTGAGGAATAAAGATATCAGAGTATTTGAAATAAGGGAAATGCATTTTATTATACGCTTTGTTCAAAATACTTTAGTATTAAAAATTTTTATTCAAAATATTATGAATTTATTGTTTTAGGAATTTGTCCCCAAATGTCTCAGTGGTAATTTGAAACCTTATAACGCTAAAAACTAGGTTTAGATACCCGTGGTGAGCACAGCACAGATGTATGATTGTGTAGTTTTGCCATTTAAGAACAAACAAAATTTAGCTGTTGACAAAGAAATGTACATTATATTTTAACTACTATTTTTAAGTAGAAATTTTAAACATTATTTTGCCATGTTATGTAGTTAAATTGTTATGTTTAAGTAGTTCATGTTTAATCCCATATATTTTCATCAATAGTTATAATTATAGTATCACTTGTAGTTGTACTGACGGAAATGTGTCGAGGTTATTATTACGGTTTTATCTGCGGTTTTATAACCTTACAAATCTGGTTCCGTGGTGGGCATAGCACAGATAGCCCATTCTATAACTTTGTGCTTAACAAACAAACAAAATACTTAATTATAAATGTATGAACAATCTTAACTGTCTAATTTACAAAAGCTATTTTTCATTCTTACTTTAGAATGGGGAAAATGAAAGAGAATAAATGTGTACTTTGTGTGAATTGACAAGCTTACTATCAATCATACGTGCGCAAGTAAATATTGATTTTATATCATTTAATTTACCGTTAGAATTTTGTACTGCACATTTATCTACCCATTCGCAAGTTTATTCTCTCTTCGGCTTTCACCAGATTATATGAGACTATATATATATATATATACATATATGTGTGTGTGTGTGTGTGTGTGCTTCATTTTGACTGTAGAGCCAATACACACTATATCATTCACCAAGAGACTTTTCCCTCTGTAAAAAACGTTAGGCGCCACTGCTATTCATGTCGTAACGACGTGTGGCGTGATGATAAAACAAAATTTGTTCTAACCGGTTTTCACGGTTTAAAATGGATTCCTAAGGAAGTTTAGAAGTGTAAAAGATAATTGTGATAACTTATTCGATCAAATATTAAAACATCTTGACTTTTCTGTATGTGAATAGAATAGGATAAAGTTTATCATCAACAACGCCTCTTTAATAATATAATTAATATTGCTGATACAATTTACACAAAGTCTAAAAACAGCAAAATGTTTTACACTGGTGAAAGAGGAACAAAATATGGTAACAGTTTAACGATAAGTAGAAAGGAAAGCAAAAATAAGTCATTGTATAATGTAGAATTACTTTCTTCTATCAGAATGACTAAAATCAATAGCAGAAAATAACGTGGACCTAGACAATTAGTGTAGTCAGAAGTGTAAGGAAGTAAGGGCTTCTTTAATGCTGTAATGAAATTAGGAAGCGTAAGATTTATAGGTTGTTGTAATGTTTTTTTACAATAAATTGTTGATTCTTTTTTTAAAATTTCCTTTGTTTAAATTATACTTTTTAATTTTAGAAACGTTACAATTCTAGTAAAACCATTGAAGTTTTTAACTACAAAAACAGCATTGCAAACAAACTGTCAAATGTTGGTATCTGGTTTCCAATACACTTTTTAAACATTTCTGATCAAAATTTTATTTGCTTATTTTCACAGTCTGTAAAGATATTAGTAAAACGCAGCAATCTAGTCAAGTTTATTTTCGTCTGTTTTCGTCTTAATATCCTGATATAAAACGAGTCTTTGAAAAACGTCAGGGAATCCAGTTCATCTTATCCTTGGAACAAAACAAAATGTAGTTCCGAAACTACAACAATTAGCACGACTCATATTGAGGAAGCTTGTTTTAATCGAAAATTATTTTTTGTTGAAGTTCACACAAAGCTACACAAGGGTTCGCTGCGCTAGCCGTTCTTAATTTAGAAATAATAGACTAGAAGGAAGGCAGCTAGTCAACACCACTCAATGCAAACTCTTGAGCTGCTCTTGTTAGACCGAATAGTGGATATAAGCTACTACAACTAATAAAAGGTAAAATATCAAAGTCATACTATGACAGGTATGTTTGTAAATGTATATATTGTAACGAATTTGTTGTTATGTATTTATTTTAATATGAACATTGTTTAGATTAAGTTTATATTTAGAAACATACATAGCTTATACTACTAGATAGGTATTGCGAAACTCTCCAAAGCTGTAGAAGATTCTCCAGAGTAAGAATGTACGTAAACGCTTTAACCAGTATTGTTACGTAAGACTGAATTTTCTAGAAAGTCTTCCCACGGCTATAAATATAATCAACCCGACGCGTCAAAAGGGGAGTATCTATTATTAGTTTGCTATAGTCAGTGTGCTATAAA